AGATGCTTGCGCTGGGACTTCCTGAGTTAGTTGCTGGCAGGATGTTGTTTGGGGGAGCTCCCCAAGTCCAGGCCTGTAGGTCTGCACTGCTCTACCAAAGCCTGGCTTTCTCAACACTGGGAATGCACTGCAAGTGTCACCTTTTTTGCAAAGGCTTCTGGAGTCACTCAGGATGGAGGCAAAATCAGGCATTGCATCACAATGGACACATCAGCAGTTTCTAGTTGAAAGAGCTTGCACAAGGAAGAATAAGAACCTTCCACCTCCTGTAGCCTCTTTCTCTTTACCTGCCCATACCTAGGACCTCAAAGAGGATATAGCTAAGATGTTGCAAAGTGAACCGGATCATATTTACTTTGGCTGGACCAGATCCGTTTGACTTCTTTTAGTAGAAAAGTTCTTTGTGCCCTTTGTTTCATCTCCCTTTATTTCTCCCAAGGTGGGACCAACAAAGTTGGGTTTACTCCAGGACAGTGACGTTTCACCTCGATTAATCACCAAATGCAATTGTGCTTTCCTCAAATTTCATGTAGAAATGATCAACTATTATGCCTTCATGTACTGATGTAATGGGTGATGGCTTCCTCCGGGTTTAAAGGCATGCATTGTGTGCAAGTTAAAAAGTGCTTCTGATTTGACTTTCTCACGGCTTCACCAGCTGCTGGGGAACAGCAAGGGAAGCCAGCATAACCAGACAAGAAGTTTATATGTTAACGGGAATTTTATATAAGCTCCGTGAAGCATTCTGAAATGCTGTACATGAGCTCTGAGAGATCTAGCTTCTCACTGCTATTCATTTTTCAATTTTCAGCTTCAAGGATCTTGGACATTCTCCTCTAGGCTCATCAAGGAACAGGAATCCAAGGCCTAGTCACATTGAATGATTTTCTCAAGCGTAAGGATTTGTCTCAGTGGTCCTGAGACAAACCAGAAAAAGGGAAAGTTTATTCAACAGTAGAAAGGCTTTCACATTTTTTTTCCCCCGCATGCCATGACAATTCTATCATTATCCATAAAAGAATAAGGTAAATTTTACCCTGTGGAATATGCCTAAGGGTTTTGTGTTTGTTGTTGCTCTGTAATCTGCTTTTCACTTAGCACACCAGGTACTCTCATGCAAAACTGCATTGTGGTTGGTTTTGTGTTCACTGTTGTTTGAAATGCTTGAGGTATGTGGATCCCTGACAAACAGCAATTAATGGAATGACTCCAAACATGGAATTGTCAGGGAAGCACAGGGTCTGCCATGCCATTTAAAGAAATATAATACCTTGCCTCTAGTACCTGATCCCAGGAGGAACAGAGGGAAGATGCCAAATGTCCATAATGCAGTTAGCCAAATATACAAGGCTATCCAGGGAGGAAAAAAATCCTTCCTGACAAAAAAAGCTACTTCCAACAGGCAGGAGAGCACTGTGTAGACTGTCAATACAGTATCATGGACCTTCAGACATGGGATAGGATTCCTCTCTGCAGAGTAACATGCTGGGAAAATAATATCATAGCAAAAATCATCCATGTCGTTTTATACACTGCTTTTAAAACGTATTGGTACCTTGCCTGGTATGCTAAGAAGCTTCCCACGCATACCCTCACATGCCCCACAACCCTAAACCTCTTCCATCTACTAGGGA